GAGCAGGCAGGGAATAGCCGGGTGTGCCCAAGGGCCGGGCCGCACAAGGGTGGGAATTAGCCGTTTGCTGGGAGACTCTGCTCCTGCACAAACAGGGCTTTGACCGCAGCTTCCACGGTGCCAGCCGGGCAACCAATAGGAGCACACTACCTGTTTCTTTCAACAGTCTGTGGCTTTGCTACTCTCTGCCTAAAATATTCACTGTGAAAGTTCCCTGCATCGGGCTTTCTGCACTCTCCTAGACTGCTGATTGAGGACTTTTTGTTTGCATTCCTGTTCATGGTCTCTAAAGGAAGAGGAATGGATTGTTCTCGGTGCTTGAAATAAGATTTTTTTTTCTTTTAATACCTGACCTCATGGCTGAGCAATGTATGCAGAGGCTGTAAAATCTCCATGTACTTTACGGCTGCAAGGTCAGCAGACGAAGCACAATGATCAAGTGCACTCAGAGGTGCCCTGCCCTGGCCAGTCCTCCGCGCTCTGGCGTTTCTAGGGTGCAGCTCATTCAGTTTGGTCTCTCGCTAGACCCCGCGCCCAGCCTGGCCCCTGGCTGGCCGACAGCCGAGCGCTCCGGTGAGCTGGAAAAAGCCCCGAGTCAGCAGCATGAGGCCCACAAAGGCCTGATTGTCGGAGCGCGTGTGTGTGCCCAGCCACTTGTGTGCAGCTTCTTTCTGAGGGAAGGCAGGGCGGGGCAGGGCAGAGCTGCTCCGGGGCCTGCCTGCTGCCTCCCTTCCTCAGCCCGGGGCTCCCGGCGAGAGGCCCCAGGCCAAGACTCTCCCTCTACCTTCTACAACGGGCTGCGGTCACGCCGCCTTCGCCGGCCTGCAGCTCCACGGGCCCCAGGTGCGCCTCCTGCTTCACGAGGGCCGGGCCCGTGTTTCTGAGTCTCCGGCGGGAGCGCGGGGTAGAGCCAGATGGCGCTCGGCGGCCGAGAGCGGTGAAATGGGCCAGGAGACAGGCAGGGACCCAGTGTCTGCACTTGGCGGGGTAGAAGATGAGTGGGCAAAGGAAAACCAGCCAGCAGCGGTGGTTCAAATTCCTGACACTCCCCCTCCCCCGGATCTGTATTGGACGTAGGGTTGCCAGATGGTTTCAACAAAAATACCGGACACACCTGATGTTACATCACAGTCTCCTTTCCAGCTGAGTTAGAAAATACCGGACAGTTCTAGTTTCGCACTTTGTCTCCCGGACAGAAAGCTCCAATACTGGACTGTCTGGCTCAAAACCGGACCCCTGGCACCCCTGGCTGGAAGAGGCAGCTCCTCCATTAGCGGCAGAGGAACAGAGGAAAACAGGCCACGGCCAAACGTGGGTGGGTTGGCTCTGGGTTGCTCTGAGGAGCTCTGCCCACACAGCTACCCAGGCGAGCCCCTCACCGGCCCGCACCCCTCGGGGCTCCTGCAGCGTGTGCCATCAAGTGCCAGCTCTGCCCCTCGGCCACATGCCTGGCCCAACCGGACAGTCTCTGTGCCAAAGGACAACCGTGCACCCCCCCAGCACTGAGAACCCTCCCCCCCCACCCCAGGCGCACCGTGGACGCTCGC